ATGGGCCATTTTTATTCTAAAGTTATTTCCTAAGAATTTTCAGGTTTTTCAAGAGTCTTTCTAGCCGAAAACGGTAGCGCAATTTGTGTTGTGCACCGGATATTCTCAAACATCAGACGAAACATAATTAGCTTAAAAATTCTGGACCGACTTGAACATTTTTTTCAATATTTGATAGCTTATTTTTCAGCGAGCTTTTTTTCTCAATATTTTAACTGGATCCAAGACCCACTAGACTAGAGGAAAACTAAATTTGACACAAATGAGTAGTTTTCCGCACGCGACTTAGGTAATTAATATTATAAATACCTTATGGTCTTTAGCATGAACTTCTACTTGTCCGTTGCTAAAGACAATACGTTGTTCGCCACTAGCTGAGACGGTGAGCGCCGCGCCATCCGGGAACCGCCACTCTTCTCTAACGTGTTCGTTCTTCGGGTCGAAGTACCGGACGCTGCCGTTTGGTAACCGGATCTCAGATGATCCGTCTTTGTAGCGTTTTTCTACTTGGCCACTGGAAATAAACGAGAAAATTTATGATGTATTTGTTTATTTCCCGAGGTAGATATTAAATCTAACACCCTATACGACATGTAACGTAATTAACGCACACCGTCAAACACCCCAATTAGAATTATTATGTTATAATCATAATACATACACAAAATTTTTAATTTAACATGTATATGCATCCTTACTGGTCTTGACATAAGGTTTATTTTTCTTTATTTTGTATTGAATGATAGAATTTTTATGAATACAAATAAAACTGCGATCTTAAAAGTCTTATTGCTTTGACTTACGGTCCATTTCGATTTGTTTTAACAATACAGGGTTAATATGACAATAATTAAATATAAATATAAATGATTATATAAATCGATTCAGTTAACGATTCTGAACAAACTATTTTCAGGATGTGCGTTATTTAAGTTACATGTTGTATATGCGCCGGTTATGTTTAAACACCAACATAATAGGAGACTCCACGTTAGTGAATTTTTAAAAGAATTTGATAATACTTCACCTGATTCGAGTATTAATCTCGATAACCATTGGTCGGTACCTATCATACCTATTTCGTGTTTTAAAAATACTGGTTGGTTACCTTAGTAACATCCTACATGGTTAGCTATTTGTTGCTAGATTTTCTATAAAAAAAATTAACGTTAACAGTGACTAAGAAGATCAATACTTACTCAGGGAACTCCAAGACTTCCAATCCATCAGCATGAGTAGTGTGGTAGGTTTTAGTTTCAGCATAGAAATATTTGATCCTGCCGTCACTGTAGAAGTTCTCCTTAACATCTCCATTGTAGTATACAAACTTGCTATATTTGCCATCTGCGGATATGTACTTTACATTGCCATTAGGAAACCTTAATTCCTTAGAACCATCTGGTTTCTTCACTTCAGTGGGATTCAAACTAGTTTTTGACAAACTAGTTCTGCTAATGGAAGGTTCCGGACTCAAGTTCATGAGCTTATCTCTATACTGTTCATTGTGTATCACTGTCACAGACTTCATAGAAGAATGGTTGTAAGAAGAAACTGGAGATTTTGATCTGTTCTGTGTCGTGGTAGAGCCAGAACGACTTGATAAGTACTCCGTAGAGTTCCGTGATGGAGGCGACTTACTAGATTTATTGCTTAGGATGGAAATAGGAGATTTTGCCCGGTTTATAACAGTCTCATTTGCATTGAAACATGGAGATATCGTTCTTCTTGGTGACTTTGAAGTCCTTGATGAACTAGAACTAGATTTTTGTATAAAGAAACTTTTAGCATTGTCATTTAAGTTTGGTTTCTCATTTAAATTAAGTTCAAAATTTAAACTTGAACCACTGGATCTTGTGCTTTTTGGTGAACTTGACTTTAATCTTTCAATGTATATTTTTTCTAAGTTATTACTATCCGCATTTCCGTCATCATCATCTAGAGATTCATTTGAAATTGTGTCATTATCTCTTTCCTCATTTTCTTCATCAGAATAATCTATTCTTTCCACATTCGGTAGTTTGTTTTGTTCTATTTGACTAAGAGTGTCTCTCTGGCTAAAGTACTTAGCATATCTAGAAGTGACATTTAAGTTAGGAACACTCTTTGCCCTTGGCCTTATAGTGCTTTTTCCAACTGGTTCAACTCTCCTGCTTCTACTTTGCCTTTCTATCTCGTAGGCCTTATATTTGATGTCGCGATCTTCGCTGACTTCGGACCTACTGTCCTTATTACTCATGTTAGTCAACTTTTTATTTATTTCCTCAAGATATTTTATATTTGTCAGTCTTCTTGTCACTTCGTTACTGTGTTGGATTCTCTTATTTTGCTTCTTTAGTTTCTCTACTTCTTCCTGCAAATCTTTCCTTTCTTTCTCCATTATTTTGATTTGGTTTCGCAGTCTAGCTATCGTTGAAGTAGATTTAGCATCTTTTACTCTTATTTCTTCTTTAAGATCGTTTATTTCTTTCTTTAAATTCACGACTTCGTCTTTGTCTTTCTTATTCAGTCTCCCTCTCATTTCTCTCACATATCTCTCATACATTTGCTTCTGTTTATTTAGTTTCTCTTTTTCTTCTGCTAAGTAATATTCTGATAGAACTTTTTCTTCATTGAACTTTTGTTCAAAAGCTGCTTTTTCTTCGTAAAACTTCTGCCTGTCTTGGTCGACTTCTTCGCGTAATTTTGCCAAATTAGCATTTTCCTTTTTGAAAGTAGCTATTTCGTCTTCCAATTCACAAAGTCTGTCTTTTAGTAATTCACTTGTGGATATCAGTTTGGCATTCATTTCTGCCATGTTCGTTTTCATGACATCAGTTTCTGTCATTGTGTCATCATGGCATTCTTTAGATTCATCCTCTTTTTGATGGTTTATTTTGACTGCTTTACTTTTTTGTTGTATACTTTTTGCATTCTTGTTGTTGTGTTCATCACGATTTTGAGGAGACTTCTTCCCAGAATAATTACTTTGGTCAACATTTCTACAAGAACAGCATGATGAGCATGCATCACTGCAGTCAGAACAATTACTAGAACAAGTCTCTGCATCACTATGAGAGTTCTCATTTCTAACTCTACCTTTCAACCCAGGTAAAATATTTATAAGATTTGGGTTTCGTGCCAAACACTTTTGAAGGATTAAAGGGGTACTTTCAGTGGAGCTTTCCAAGTTACTTCTTAGGAATCTATCAAAGAATGAGTTTTCTAAACTGAAACTATCATGTGTAACTTTATTTTCTAGTAGTTCGAACATGTTTTGTTCAGCAGCTTCCCTCTCATATCTTAACTTTGTCATTGTTTCATCACAGCTAGCATCTGATATCACACTTTTTGAAGGAGAAACAAAGTTTTTATAGTAGTCACTCTGCTTCAGCTGGCTGAGGAAGTCGTTTTGTTCTTGTGTTAGTACTGCAGCCCAAGATTTCCCTTTATTGGCTAGTAGAGGGTGTTTGTTCTTTGGGAATTCTGGTCTTTCTAGTGGTTTATTGATATGTTGAATGTTTCGATTGATTGGAGTACTTGGTTCCACAGTGGTTGGTTTATTTTCTGGTACTTTTCTCGTTGTCACTTCTGGCTCATCATTTTTGTCTGAAAGCCGTGATTTAGATTGATTCTTTCTTACTAACTTAACTTGCTGTATATCAGTTACTAGTAGTGATGGTTCAGACGTAACCACATCATCTTTCTCAACTTTTTTCAAGTCACTTTGAACATTATCTGATTTTTTATTTTGTGCATTACTTGTTTTATCTTTTGGAACATCATTATTCTTCTCTTTAAGCTTTTTTAGATTCAATTTTAATGGAGATTCACTTTTATTTTGGAAGCTTTTTCTTTTCCATGGCAGAGATTTTGTGTTTTGTATAACAAAATCGTTTTTTCTTAGGCCAAAGCGAGCTATACCTTCACCTCGTCTGAGAAAAGGTTTTTTATTGTTGGTGATTATAGAATGGTCCTTACTTGGACTTTTACGTTTGGGGGCATACCTTTCACTCTGAAGTTTTTCTATGAGTAAAGCTTCAAAATCTTTTTTAGGGGACAGAATAGGCATTTCATCCAGTGATATTTGTTTTTTCACTTGTGGGTTCTTGTTCAGAGAGGAATTCACAGAAGTTTTATTACTTGTGTTTTGTGATGGCTCTGAAGGTAGCTCTCCTAAGTTTCTTGAAGGGGCTGATGTCCTACTTCTACTAGATAGCGGGGAGTTGACAATAAACTCAGATTCTTGGGAAAGGTTGAGAACCGAAACGCCATCGATTAAGTCCCTTTCTTGCACCTTAGGCGAAATTTCAGTACCGTTAGTCCGAGGTGTACCCTCAATCGAAATATCATTGCTAGACTGCAGCAAACTACGAAATGTGTTATAGCTTGTGGTATTACTAAAATGGCTTACAATTTCAGTGATACTTGATGAAGTTTCAGAATTTTGATTGTATTCTAATCGTTGTTTTTGTAGCTTCCCGCGCTGCATTAACTGAAGTTGTCGTAACACTTGTAAACGTTCCAATATCTGTGAGGGAGAGAGTGAAACATCACTCTCCGAGTATGTTTCATCCATGGTTATATCTTCTTATACACTGATAGAATCAACTAAACTACTTAGCAATAATTTCCCGAAAATACATAAAGCATCACAAACCCGACAAAGTTTTTAAATATTGACATCTTTGACAGTTTCAATTTCAACAGTTTGACAGACAAAGTGTTTCAGGTCCTACCAACATACATAATAAAAATAAGTGTGACCACCAGAAAAAAATATTCATATCCGGCTTTAGTGATCCTATTCACAAGATTACTAATGTTTTCGACAGACTAATTTTAGATAAATGTAAAAAAATCTAATTATTTTAATTACATAAACTGAAATGTTTTTTTACATATTTGAAAACAAGATATCAATACAAAAGTAGTTCATTTAATGATGATGATAAAACCTATGATAAAACCTACCATATTTGGGAGATTTATTTAATGTCATAAATATAAAGTGGTAACACTAGCACATGCGCGAATAAATGTCAAAATTCTTGTCCATTTTTATTCAAAAATCATCTGGTTATCTGGACACAAAACACATAATACTTGCGATGTCTAAGAGAAGTAGTTTCCACAAAACTCCTAAATTTAAGCCCGAAGTGAAAGTGATTAATAGTAAATCCAAACCAACTATAAACATGTCTTTCCGAACGAAGAAAGTTGAAGTGTTACCTGAGCCTATCAAGTCTGATGCTGATAAAAAACTATACAAGTGAGTCGCTTTAATAAATTAATAGTAAACAAATAATTTAAACGATAACTACACCATTTCATCGACAAATAAATGTTAAATAAAGGCTACCTACATTTATAAAAAAATATAACCAAATATCTAAATAATTTTCGTGTTGCTGCAGAACTATTCGCCTGGAGAATGGTCTAACAGCGCTTCTGATATCGGACTCGAGCCGTCTAACTATTGGTAACGAGACCAGCTCCAGTGAGGAGGAGACCAGTGGCTCTGATGAGACCACAGATCCTGAAAGTGAGAGTGGAAAGTCTGGAGTATCCACTGGCAGTGATCATCATGGCATGAAGAGACGCGGCGAATATGACGAGGAAAAACTGGTCAGTACTCTAATAATACCTACTTAGTAAAATGCAACTGTCCACATACGATTTTTCTCTTTAAAAGAAATTATTCATTCATAAATGAAATTTACGAATGTATAGGCTTATGTAAGTTCAAACAAGTTGTAATGGTATTACATGAAACTGGTTGACAAAATAATTTGAGTGGGTTACTCAACTGGTTTGCTATTATTATGCAACATAAACAGCATTCTTTGTTTACATAATGCATATTCACAACAACATAACAATTATATAGGAATTTAGAAGCTAATTAGTTATTTTTGGTGTTATTAGAAATGTTATGAATTAGACAAAATCATTAATTTATTGATGAAATAAGTAAATTACTATTTTATTACATTTCTAAACAGTTAACAGCAAGAGATTTAACTGAATTCTCATAAGAGTCTTATCAGTTTATAGATATTAATTATTTAAATCTTATTAATCAATAACAAACAAATATTTCAACTTTACAATAATATTTTTATTGATATAATAAATGAGGCATTTTTATAGTACAGGCAATGGGTTGATAAACTGTTACATGGGGATCATACCAATACTAGTGAAAACTGGGTCACATTCTAAATGTGCACTTCTGGGTATTTCTTCAGATATCAAATGGTTGTTTACAATAATAATAAATAATATATGCTTTATTGTACACCACACAATCATATTATAGGATAATATTAACAAAAAGAGTATACAATGGGTGGTCTTATCGCGCAAGGCAATTTCTTACAGACAACCTTTGCATGGAGCAGTAATAGGAGTCTGATGTAGGTCATCAAGTGTACAATAATTAATAACTGTATAAAATACTATACAAAAATACCAATATAACTCAAAAAATAAATAATAGGTATATCACACACAATACAATACATAAATTAGTTATAACTTATTCACAAAATGATAATATGTATATTTAAAATTTAAAACAATATAGCTAAGTAATTTGTTTATCTAATTAGATTCTCATCGATAAACAATATTGTTGTAAAATCTGATTTGAGGATTAATCTAGTTTTCTTATTAGAATTCATGACAATAGATTTAGCATTTCAAATGTGCACCTTTGACTATCCTTTTGGGCATTAACTTGTTGAGTACCGTCATTATAGAACAATAGGTTGCGGTCACCGGTGACCGCTTGGTGTTTGACAGTTTAAAAGGCTTGATGTTATATCCTTATCATAAATACGAAGTTTTGTTTAATTTGGATCAGGGGTAGATTATGGTCTGAAGCAATACATAGGCCAATTTTTATCCATCGGGAACATGGACAATGCTGGTGGCAGCAGCTAGTACATAATATGTAAGATATTAAACGCTTTACCTAACACAACAGGAATGATGACAGAGTATGACAATTAAAAATGTAATTAGTCCATCAGTTATGTAATAAAAAAATATTATACACATCTTTTTAAATCAATCACAGTTTGGGAGTGGGAAGTAGCTACGTAATTTTAGAGTATAAATCGTACTCAAAAGTGACATCATAATTATAATATTTCAAATCAATATAATATGTTCGAAACTATTCGTTTCCGTAAGAAAATAAAAATTACGTGTCTAATGTTATTAAATAATCGACCAGACGGATATTAAAAAAAATTGTCATCTGCCCTATTCCCGTAATTTATACTTAGTATAACAATAAGTGTTTTGTACACAAACAAATATAAGTCTATAAAGTTCGACCTTGGCTAATGACCGTCAGTCGGGAGCTTGCATCACATTACAGGCGACCTTGATTCAGATCGATTGTTTGAATTATGTGTGTCCTTTGTATTGTCTGGTGTTTTGTGAAAAGCTAGAAAGCTTGACCGAATGTGTTATTGACTTATTTACTCATGTATTTTTTATGGAGTAGTTGTTGTACTTTACGCCTTTTAAGGAATACTAACTACTACCGCGCGTTTTCATACACTCTGTTCAGCTCCTATTGGTCATAGAGTAATGTTTTATAGCCTATTACTTTCTTCGATAAATCCACTATGGAATTAAAAATTATTCAAATCGGTCCAGTAGTTCCTGAGATTGGCGCGTTTAAACAAACAAACATACAAGTTCTTTCAAGTACACCAAAATGGCATTAGTGAAAGTTTAAAAAGAAACAAAAATGTCGGTAGTCGATCTCTCAGTGACCATATCTGTTCGTTCTAGAAGTAAGTTTGTCATAAAAACAACGAGCATGAAGACATTCACTGTCACGATCATCATCATCATCATCAGTAAGTAGCGTCATGTAATTCCTTCCGTAATAATTTCTTAGAAACACATTATCCCACTTTATCCATAGCATTACAAAACCAGGAAAGAGATCACAGATAGTGCCTAACTACTTACGGTTGCCCACGATTTCACCTGATGAATGCCAGGAATAATTCCCTGCTCATTCATTTTTAAATTTAAACTGTATAGAGGATCTCATAAGTTTATTTGCTACTGCGGGCTTCCAGTTCCGGTTACGAAAGTGTAAACAGCTACGTTATACAGCTCCGCAGATTTTATTTGCTACTAGTAAACAGTTAAGGCGTTGCCACGCACTTGGAACTCAACTGGTGTTGCCGGTGTCCTTCGACGACGCCGATTGCATACGATCAGGTGATCAGCCTGATCGTTTGCCAATACTATAAAAAAGTAACTTCTACCTGCTTCGGTTTCGTACGGGTACGATTTTTCAACAAGACAGTAAAAACTTCATCCAATTTGATACAGCCGTTTAAAAGTTATGTGCGTACTTTCACACATGATAATGAAAAACAAGGCACAGATAGTTGTGTAGATACAGTATCAATGTATCAGCTCGGTTCACCCCACGACGACATGCACTTCTGCAAACCTTGTGATGACAACTCCAATTTATTCTGTGTCAAGTGCGAATCAAATTGGTAATTGCCTTTGTATGCTTGAGAAACACTACACGTAGCACTACACAGGATCTGGATTGAACTGGATTTTTGTCGGGTTTTACGACATTTCTGTAACGTAAACTTCCTATAGAGACGACAACGCATTCTTGATGCCTGACCGCGGTGTCCGCTTACCAATTTTTGTCATAAGTCCCATTTTTTTTATGGCATAAATCGGTACACGATCAGACGGATCACCTGATGGTAAGCAATCGGCGTCGCCTATGGACACCAGGAACACCAGAGGCGTTACAAGTGCGTTACCGGCCTTTTGGGGATTAGGAGTTTGAGGATCGTTGGGGATTCAGAAATTGGGGAGATTGGGGAAGGGGAGGGTAATTGGGCCTCCGGTAACCTCACTCATCACACGACGAAACACAACGCAAGCGTTGCTTCACGTCGGTTTTCTGTGAGGCCGTGGTATCACTCCGGTCGAGCCGGCCCATTCGTGCCGAAACATGGCTCTCCCACACTTGAATTTCCTATTCCCATATAATCAGGGACGAAACTAATAATTTTGATCTACAACCGAAATAACCACGAAATTATTTTCCCTACAAAAACACTACGGTAACCAATAATTATAAATCCAAGGATGTGTTTACAGTCGACTTATAAAAACCGCACGGTTCACGGCTGAGTGGTCTGCAATCTACGCTATGTAGCTAATCATCATCGGTGATTACTGCCGACAGTGGTATTTTAGCTCGATTTTAGTGCAGAAACGGCGTTGGAAAAATTAAATATACTCTTAACCCACTGTAGATAGATTGTGTGAAGAATAATATGAAAGACAAAAAAAGATTGTGATAGGATGAGGTCTAATAGAGGAAAATAGAAAAAGAATACATAACCGATACCAAAGAGGTTGGGTCAGGATTCAGGAAGAAGAAATTACGAAGAAAGTTTTTTATGTGAAAACCTGACTGTTCTACTTGATTATGCTTAGATTAATCACAATAATAATATTATAAATGTGAAAGTTTCTTTGTTCGGATATTTGGATCTTTGTCCGTCAATCCCGCTGAAACTATTGAACGGATTTTGATGATATTTGGAACACAGGCAGAGTATGAACTGACTTAGGTGGTAGGATACCAATTATTACCCGTATTTAAATGCTTCCATGGGATAAAACAGGAATCATATTCTACGCGGACGATGTCGTGGGCAACAACTAGTATAAATAAAGTCCTTTAGATCCCATAAAGGTTAGAAGTCAAAACAATATTAAAGTTATACAAGGAATAAATACTAGAATCACATCGTAAGCAATAAATAAAGATCGATAGATGTGAAGAGTTCAGGTCACACGACGGCCTTGTGCCGGCTAATAGAAAGTTAAATGAACGAGCTCTAACGTATAAGATATCTAAGTACTTAGCATCGTTTGTAAGGAGGTTCATAGTTTCTTATTGCATGTATTGTATGTTGCAAAATGAACAAGATGAGTTTCTTGGTGGAAATTTGTTAGCCGTTGAAATTAATACACGAATACAATCTTAAATCTTTGAATTAATCTAGGATTTTGAGTGGTGGTAATCATATTGATATTAAGTATCGTTATTATATCTATACCAATCGGACCGGTACTTCATTTCGATCGGAACTAAAGTATAGTAGAAGTAAAAGTATTTAATTGTACCTATGGAGTTTCTTGTTCGTTCTTCTCCAAAGGAATCTACACATGGAATGAGCAAATAGCTTCACTATAAATCTTTTGTTGACGTTCAAAAGGGCCTTTCTGGTCTTATTGAAATAAATGATTTTGACTTTGACTTTGATTGACACATTAAACGGTTTGCCTTCAACAATTTTCTATTGACAGTCAAAACCTTATGTATGTATTACAATAGGCTCAAGTATATTTACGGCCAATATTTATAATCCAAACCTTTAGACTTTGAATCGATATCTGTTTCGACAGAAACTCAATATAACAAATACCAAAAATCGATCGTAATCCTCAGATTTTGTCACGGAGAACCTAACGGGTTACCAGGGCTCCGGTTCGACGTGCAGGAGAAGGAACAGAGTGGTTTTTAGTCAATAACTCCCTCCCGCCTC